ATTTGCAGCTGAAACATTTCCTGCAGATAAAATAAAAACAGAACATACATTTGTGTGTCGCAATAATCTTTGCAAGTTTCCTGGCCTTATCGTAAAATAGTTATCGCTGGTTAGTATTTTTTGGTGGATACGGCTTCTGCCATTACACTTCTATTTTCACAAGTACTTTAAGGTGTGAAACATACAAGATGTTGAAATGTGCTTCTCCTTTACTTATTCGAAGATCTGTTTGCACAAGAGCAATAACAAGTATCACTAATAGATTATTTTCATTGAAAGGAAGTGAATGTTTTATACTGAACCTTACACACTAGGAAAGGAGACAATTGTCATTCTCAGACACAATGACAAGCAGAAGAAAAACATTAGGTACATAAAGTTTACACAAACCTCATTACCACAAGACATGTAAGCTTCAACCCCTCTGCATTTGATTTCCAAATATGATTCTTCATGTCATTTACTTTTCATTTGTATAGTGCATTATTGCAATTCTATTCTTACTGAAATATTTTACTTCAATTCAGAACTTCAAGTAGAAGGCACCATCGCTTTTGAAATACAGCTTAGAATAGAGCTCTTGTCTCAGCAGAAAAACACAGAAGTTAAAAGAGATTTCAGTCATTGTGTTATAATTATGTGATCCAAAAATCTAAATATGTATATAAATATTTCAGCCCAAACAAGTTTCTATTGTCACAATAATTCTGGATCAGAGTTATCCTGGACTTTGCTTTTCTGTTTTTTTTTAAGCCCAGCCTTGTCCAGCTTGGCCAGGACACACATGCTCACACTAAGGCCCTGAGGTGGCCATGTGCTCCTCTGTCTAGTTACTGCTGCGCTCTGCTTGATTGTCTCGACTTCTGGACGTCTTGTCTTTCAGCCTCAGAGCCCCTCACACCCACTATTACAGAGCTGTACGCTGAGAGCTACTCTCGGACACTGGTGGTCAAGTGGAACATCAGGTCTCTGGGATTTGAGGATGAGCTGAATGTGACCTTTGAGATTCAGGTTGCGAGGACAGTAGACGTCAACTAAACTGTGATTTCCATCCCCCCGTTTTCAGTAACCACATTCTTCTTAGGGAGCAGCAGTGAGCTGGAGATCACTTACCAGTCACAGGGCACATGACAAGACTACACCTTGGACAGGACATTGGTAATCGTAGGAGACGGTGGGACATACTGTACATCATGGTTAAGATTGTTTTTGTGATGACATTTGACTGACACAAACAGGAGATGGCTGGGGAAGTGATGACCTGTGGATTTGCAGCGAGATACCCTGTTGGAGAAGTTTCCCTCTTGAGTGTTAAAGTCACAGATATCATTTGTTAGTATCAGCTGTGTTGTTCCTCTTTTGATTGTTATCTGATTGTCTCCGGGCCCTGTTTCTCAATAACTGGGAAAACACCCTTGCTTGAATCTTACATAAAGCGTTTCTGGAAATGTATGAAACCTGGCCAGTTTATGGTCTGTTGTCATCTCTGCTGCATGGTTCTTCGTTGACTACCTACAGTCTTCCCACCAGTTGAAGGCAGTGGTGTCATCTGTGCTCAGGTCAGGTTTAGGAGCAAAAACGTTATTTTCCTGGGAGGATGTTCAATAAACATGCAGGATTGCTACTGCTGCTGTAGTTCTCAATCATTAGCACCATTGTGTTTGCATGTTTCTCTGGACCTGACCTTTATGGTGTTTGTTCAGACAGGAGCTCAGGAGATAGTCAAATTCTAAACTCTCTGCTCTCCTATGCATGTAAACTACCAGTCTGCAAGTGGCACTATGTACATCTTTTCAGATGCCAATCCCTCCACCCCATAAGTGAGGGGGGGTGTGCCAGTGCTGATCTCCAACCAGCCCTGTCATTTCCAACGCCAGGCAAGTTAAAGCCAAAGTTACAGAGTACGCTATCCTTTCTTATTTGTCGGTTCGTTTCGTCATCAGAACTTAATTATGAAAATGTGGCTTCTCACTCCTCACTCCTTGGGTATAAGTCTGCGCTACAACTCCAGGGTTAAAACTACAGAGGGAATAGGGTGGTGATAATTACATTGTTTGGAAACCTGCTTGTCTGCAAGCTGCAGAAAAATAGAATTAGGTAGTCTTTGCAATTTATTTCAGTAAAATTATGCCATTATCATGGCAGGGGTTCTTGATAACAATAGAATAGAATTATAAACAGAAACTAGCTTGAAAAAGCCTGACAAAAGGTAATGTAACTAGTTCCACAAACTAGAGAAATATCACGAAGGAAAAGTTCTGTGGAACTCACTGCCTCAATTCACCTCAATGGAAACCCAACTCAATGACTATTCATTTTTAAAATACCCCCTCAAAGACCTCTGTTTCTGGATCTTTTAATGTCTTTTTTTTCTATTTGGTGCTTGGTTTCTGGTAGTGATTTTTTATTTTACTTCTGTAAAGTTTTTATGCATGTACAGTACCATTGTACAGCATTTTGAGTTTTTTTAAAAGTATTTAGAAACAAAATGTGCAAAGATAATGTAGTGCTTAACATGAATAAAACTGTCATTCCACTAAAGTAGTTTGAATTTCGCCTTTTTCCTTATAGTGTACTGAAGAATTATACTGTACCTTAGACGTGTAACGCTAACTACTGTATGAAGTCTCAAGTGACAGACTGCTTCCACGTAAATTGAAGGGCATCCGAACTGAGAGCTGGTCCGTGAGTCTGAAATAAGAATAACGTATCATGGCAAGCGGGTGGAAAATGGATGGATGTATATCAAGGCAAAGAGCACCGGCATTCACGTACAAAAACAGCGAAACGCACACACAATTGTTTTCTAAATAATTCACATAACCCAAATGCGTACGGCCCTCTCAGTTGTAAAACTCCATAACGTTCGCATACGTTTCTTAGCTGATTTAAATGAAACAACTGATTAACACCTTTGCTCTCAATGGACATCGAATGATGTGTAAAAACAGGGTTGGAGACAAGTGTCGAGCTTCGTGTTAACGTTGATGATCTTTTCGTGTTCTGCAATGAATGTACTTTTACTGTAAGTCTCTTAAACTCGCGTACCCCTGTCTGCCTTTGCTAGTTTTCTATAAAAAGTGAAATGAAAAAAAAAACTTAAAATGGTGTCCTGTTGTTTGTAGTCTTTTATGTTCTTAAAATATTCAACTCCTCATTAGAATAACACCGAACATCCGTGAAATTAAAAATGTTATGATTTCATGCGAAATGCATTGATCAATTTCATTAATAGTTTTGAATGTATTTGATTTAAGTCCGCACTCTGAGATACATCTTTATTTGATGTATAATATCCAACATGTGGTGTTTTTTTTTCGCGTACCCCGTAGGATAAGCGATCCTATTGGAAGCTGTGCCACGATTTGTGATTTTTGTTTTTATTTTAATCGGCAATTATGCATACTATTCTCCACCCCATTTCCCGCTGTGATGACTCATTTCGAGAAAAGGAGCGTTTCCAGTCAAAGTATTGCGCAGCTGTTTAGTTGAACGAAAGCGACGTGACAGTGTACAGAGTAGTTGGTGCATACACAACGTGATGTTGCCTTTTCTGATGATGCTGTACATGCATTTCTGAAGAAAGTAAGTGGTCGTTTTTGTTCATTCAGAAGTTATAAATATTTATATATTTTGTGAAAGGCCAGTTTAAAGTTCCATAAATGCTTAAATGGGAAAGACGGCGTTTTTCCCATTACGGGTTTTTATTGAGTGGTTACAGTAATGTTTCTATTTGGCTTTTTCTCACCTTACAAACATGAGTGTTATGTATGCGGATTTGTAGGTGTTATACCGTATAAGGTGCTCTCTTTAAGTTTATTGTTTTAAATTGAATGTCATTTAGTTATTCTTTGTAGTGTTATGAGTTCTATTTTAGCCTTTTTTAGAATTTAACATAGGCATATCAAATATTATATTAAATAGTTACTAAAATGACTGCGATTAAAAAATATGGTGTGGATTTCAAGATCAGGGTATAAATAAACCAAGAATTTGAAACGTTCAACAATTCCTTACGCAATTTATACGCAACACCAACCTCGCGTCTTCCACTTAACTAACTTTATCAGCAGTAAGAAAAAACGCCCATTGTACACCTGTCCAGTCTCTCTCCAGTGCTGGAACTGTCACACAAGAGAGTCAGCGCATAGAGCACCAAATATGAAATGATCACAAAGTAGATCTGCGATTTTACAATGAAGACGGATTGGAATAATAATAATAATAATAATAATAAGAAGAAGAAGAAGAAGAAGAAGAAGAAGAAGAAGAAGAAGATAACCGTGTGATGGTGACGCCGGACCCAGACATATAACGTCTAGAATGTAGAAGCACAAAAGAGGGAACTTTAAATACTGAAGGGAGAGGGACTTGTTTGGATAATTGGTCCAGGAGCGAGGGTCTGTTGAATCTGGTGCCTGTGAGAATGTGATGGGTTCAATTTGGGAATGAGATCGTGAAACACTGGGTTTGGGAATGCAACGGCGTTTGCGAGGGAGAGTGTGGGATGTGACCGGTTGCTGTCATCCCTCCCGAACTTTAGTTACAAACTCCATTACATGACTTGATAGGCACCCAATGTAGAGACTTTAGTGTAGGAGTGATAAGCTGCCTGGGTGTGGTGTGAGTTAAGAAGTATGGATGCAGTTTTGGACATATTGGAACTCTTTCAGAAGAGAGATAGGGAGCCCATAGAGTAAAGAGTTGCAGAAATCAAGCCTCTATTACTTTCAAGAACAGTCATAGTGAATTTTGGTTAAACTATTGGTGAGTGTAGGACAACAGATACAGAGATAACATTTGTGCCTGAAATCTGCTGCAATGCTTATTTTACCCACACCCAATATCAAAGAGATAGAAAAAAAATGTGAATGGTGAAATCTGGCAAGATGGTGAAATTAGTCTATTAACTGTGCTCCTGCTTTTACTGTATCACAAGGTGATGTGAAAGAGGAATTGGCAGCATATTTCAAGTGCTGATCATGGGTGAGCTTTGTAGCTGGATTTCTTTAGAATGCATTTTAAATTGTTGACGCAGAAATGTCAAATTTATAAAAGAGACTTCAAGAGACAGAATGAAGAAAATAATGCTTGTTGTGGTTTAAAATGCTTAGAGCGAATAAAAACAAAATGCCGAGCTGACAGAAACCCATAATCCCTACACCTACGGTACATTGTATCACCACAGCATACAATGCCAATAAAATAGTTAATAACACAAGTACACATTTTCATAGTTCATAGTTCTTGACGCTGGTCAGACCGAGAACGACTGCATAATTACAGTTTGAGCAAATTAGCTGTGTATTCCAGCTGATAATAAAATATAACTTCGAAATAATACTGAAAGTAGATCATTGAAAGATGGACAGTTTTTGAAATTTGTAAAACTGATAATATCACGATGGCACATATTTAGCAAGGAATATTCAGCAGAACCTGTTCAGTCTGTTTATTGATGGCCTCCAGTCTCGAGGTACTGTATGCTATTTCCTGGTTTTTCAGTAGCTGATGGGCACGTAAGTAAAAGTACAGTATATGAATTACTACTGCTATGGATTTTTATGGATTGTATGTTTGCTGGGTTTCTTATGGTCAAGAATATATATGCACTAGGTATTTATTTCCTATCTGATAAGGACTGAACCGGAAAGTAGAAATAGAAAAATAGAAATGCAAGGTGGTGTATTGGTGCTAAACAGCCAAGCAGATTGTAACAGAAGTTTTGATCCCAAAGGTATTGAAAATGATCATTTCTGCTCATTGATTCTTGTTTTTTTCCTAAGACATATACAGAAATACACTGAGTTGGAAAATTAAAAGCAGGACTCGAAAGGATGATGCTGGGGTTTTAAACTCTTTGACTACAACATACAGAATATCTCCACTTCTAGAAAGAAAAAGAAAAGAGAGCATGCTGTCAGCAGAGATGCAAATGTGTTAGATAAGATGGCATCAGCACGGGAGCCTAGTTGTTTGAACATGCTAAGTAACAGAGCCATATCATACAATTCAAGGAAAGTGTATAACGGCCTTGTCCTCCTCTGTATCAGTTGGATCCTTTGCAAACAGCCCATATTCTGCCCATTGGGAGTGGAGTGTGTGGCATTTAACAGCATAGCGGTCTGTTCTGATGATCCAATAGGTCATTGGCCATTTGGTTTCTGGGAAGCCTGGCAGTTTCGTGGATGCGTTGACTTTGAGGGCTTTTTTATGTCCTTTTTAGGAAAGTAACAGCGGTGCACATTTCTGAGGCTGTCGCTGGCGGAGACGGGAATGGAAACAATACTGTGCCTTCTGGCTGCTTGTCTCCTGTGGCAGTTCCAGGGCGGACGGTGCCAGAATAAAGGTAACAAACCTTTCATACTGAGGTAGAATTTCCAGGTTGAAATGAGGTCCAGCCTTTAGGGGGTGCAGATAGGCTGTTAAAATAGTCACAGCACAGGGAAAGTAATAGCAGATTTAAAAAGAGAATGGTTTACGCTGAAGCAAAAAGATAATTTATAATAAAAATATAGCTTATCTACTGTAAGCATACTGTATATAAATAGTTTAGCTCTACTATATATTGTACATCAACAAAGATAAATCTGTGTAAGATGCTAATGTTAAATACAGCTTAAAACAGAGCTCTTCTCACAGTTGAAAGACGCAGAAGTTAAGAGAGTTTTCAGTCATTGTCGTATACGTATAGAATGCAAAAGTGTAAATATGTATACACATATTTCAGCCCAAACCAGTTCCCATCGTCACAGTCCGTCTGGATCACAGTTATCTTACAGTTTGCTTTTCTCTCTTTCCAACATTTAACCTTCAGTGCAAAGTGTTCTCTGTTTGATTTGGTTTCTGATGACATGTGAAACAGGATCAAAGAAATTGAATACACTGTAAAGCCTAGAAAATTAATTGCTAGATGTTGTCTTCTAGTCTTGGCGATACCATGGCATTTACTGTAATTGTTTATCGGTTATTTAGTAAACTTGACTTTTCAAACACATGCACTGTAGATTAGTGTTTGGCGATTGTTAAGTCAAGGAACTCATGTTGTAGGCACAACAATTAGCAGGATATGAATTCTGATAATGATTAGCTGAGTTCATTAAAGGAGAAATTGATCAGGGGTGAATTGGCTGCCGAGCTGGTTGTCAATTGCATTTTGCTTCTTTTAAATATCCTCTTCTGTAAATGTGGTTCCGCACTGCATTTTCAAAAATAGTTCATTAGGTCAACTGCTATTCCAGCTAAGATAAACAAGTGTCTATTGCACAGTACTCCACATCTTCATACACTGGCCATGTTAACCTAAAGGATTAAAATGTTCTCTGACTTGAACACTCTTGCTTGTGTGATGATCACTTGGCTTTAATCCTGAAGTAGTCAAAGACCCACCCACACCCCTTAAAGCAATGGACCATGGGAAGCAAAGAATAATTGCCTGGGCTCGGAACTGTCTTCACTTGTTTCTATAATTGTTTTTTTTTGTAAAATATTTGAGGTTCAGACTTACCTCTGTAAGGTAAAAAAAAACAACAAAATAATAATGGCTACTATACAATACAAGAAAAGAAACAAGGTTCCACATAGGCTTAGATCTTTCAACAAAAGGGGTCCTCAGCTAGTGAATGTTCTTGCCAGCCCTCAGGTTGCTCTCTGTGATTGTGGGTTCAAGCCTGGGTCATGTCAGGCTTGCAGTGCTGTTGTTGTGAGGCTGAATAGTCTGAGAAGTGTTAAAAGAGGAGGTGCTCAGAGGAGAAGGTGGGTGGGTCGGAGGAGTCTTTCTCACTCTCCTCTGCGTGTGGTCATCTCGAGCCGAAATAAAAGAAACACAGAACTGGCTATTCCAATTAGTCAGCTATTCAGATATTTTATATTAAAAAAGTGACTGCGCAGTATATATACTGTCAACTTAGTGATTCTAGCACAAGATCTGACTTCTTCAGGTTTTATTGAACTGATTTTTGTTGTTTTTCCAAGTCTTTAAAGCAATCAGTGATTTGTTAATGCCTGCATGTTGAATCCTGTTGAGGATTAGAAGTGATACTGTATAAACAACCTCTTTTCTTCAGTAATATTTTTATATATCAGCTTAGTCCCACGACATAGATCTGCCTCTCAAGCAGCAAAGCCTTCAGGTCATCTCTGCCTTGGCCAGTGGTTTCATTTGCAGCACAAATCTCATAGGCCTCCTCCTCCAGTCTCTCCTTAGATGTAAACCACATTGCTGAATGTGAAGTACAATCGGTTGTTTGTGAGGGAGCCTAGCCTCATCCAGAATGGCCAGGACACACATGCTCACACTAAGGCCCTGAGGTGGCCATGTGCTCCTCTGTCTAGTTACTGCTGTGCTCTGCTTGATTGTCTCGACTTCTGGACGTCTTGTCTTTCAGCCTCAGTGCCCCTCACACCCACTATTACAGAGCTGTACGCTGAGAGCTACTCTCGGACACTGGTGGTCAAGTGGAACATCAGCCCTCTGGGATTTGAGGATGAGCTGAATGTGACCTTTGAGATTCAGGTTGCGAGAACAGAAGACCTCGACGTGCTTCACACTGTGAGTCAAGGAGATATTTTTAATAGGGTTTGCCACTAAAGCTTCACAAAAAATACCCATCACAGTTTTGAAATAGAGATAATTTTTTAATCATTTGCATTTCTGTTGTTCTTTTTTCACAGTTTTTTAGATTATTTAATTTATGATGTTATTATATACACTATTATAATTTTTTGCAACACTGATACCCTTTGCAGTGCTCTTAACACTACAAAACAAGAGCAACAGTAGGGTAACTGTAGCTGTATCTGTACGCAATACTGTATGTGATTCATTCTCTCGTTTTGTTCACACTTTTTTTTTCAGGACTGGTACAATGTAATGCTAAAGAAGGGCAAGGCAGTCTTTACTTGGCAGTGGGTTTCTGAGGTGCCCCTGGAGTGTGAAGATCACTCTGTGAGAATAAGGAGTATATTAAATGATACCTATTCCAGCAACTGGAGCTCCTGGGTAAAGCATCAAGGTAAGATTTCTTTTGTCATGAAGTTTGGACAGGTCTAACACATACAGGAGGGACTGAGGAGGTCACTGGCTTGTTGACATGTTAGAAGAGACCTTATTGAAGAAATTTCCTTCTTGAGTGTAAAAGTACCAGCTGTGTTGTTCCTCTTTTCATTTTATCTGATTTCCTCCGAGTCCCGTTTCTCACTAACTGAGATAAAATTCTTCAGATCTTCTGCGAGTTTCCATCTTGCATTGTAAGTAAAACTCACTTAACAGACTTGACCAGAATTTCTTTGTCGAGTGTCAAGTTTTTCTACAAATCAAATGTTATGTTATTTGACAGAACACATTTTCTGTAATAAGCATTCTTGGAAATCCATTTCAAGAACCAGAATGTGGCCAGAGAATGTTATTTCATCATCGTTGCTGTGTGTTTCATTGTAGCCTATAGTGAAGAAAGCGTTTTCTTGTATAGATCAGATGTCAAGTTTAGGAGTAGGAATATTATTTTCCTGTGGGAGTTCCCTGAGTCAAGACTTCACTCCCATGGCAAGCTGTGCTGTGTTTTTAATAAATCCGATCTCTGTCAAACTTTGCAGGCAGTTCTTAAACCTTAAATATACAGTATGTCACATTAATTTGCATAGATTACACTTAGGTAGGTATTAGAGCCCTTGAGATTTCACTGTTTAATCAAGAAAGTGTGCCTTCTGCACTTTTGATTCTACAGTATACATTCCAAAAGCATGATGGCAGCTTCAGTGTAACAATGTCCAAATTCAGTGCTACATGTATATAAAGAAAGAGATACAATGATAGAGAATACAGAGATGTAACATTTGCACGGATTTGCTGCTATTTTCAGTAAATGTATTTCGCATTTAGCATGCCTTTTGTAATCACACCAAAGACTTACTGAGGATAATGATCTGTTTTTTATGAACAACCTGCTTTTAGACTGTTATACAGTCAGGTATGCTTACAGAAACAGCACAAACATTAAGAAAAGAGACAGGTAACGCACATACACTCTTGGGTATAGACATTCTCAAGTGTTTACTGCAAATTACAATAAACCCTGTAACTCTACTATTCCCCACATCATGTGCAGTGGAGTCCTACAGTAAATCCAGAATGCTTGGATTAAAACAGTGATTTCAATTGAGGAGATGTCTCTTAAACTACAGTACATAATCATGAACTTTACTTGTGATCAAATAAATTGGTGACGGCATGCATTTATTAAGTAGTTGAGATAATAAGATAGTTCAGGTGAGTAGCTGCGTCAACATGCGTAGGCTGCAAAGGAACAAGTAATAGGTTTATTCCATGCTGAAAAAAAGAAGAAAGAGAACACAACGTTTCGGCCGTGGAGCCTTCTTC